TCCAGACATTAACAACACAATGCGAAATCGGAGGCCGGGGACCTCACAATTCTACCCGGATGTTATCCCGGCAGCATCAGCCGGTTTAGCTTATTCCATCTCCCACCAAAACCAACCAAGAACCTGAACCGCTCTACCAACCCACTTGCCATACATTCAGAGAATCCTAGGCACCGTATCGACTAACAACCTACTCCCATCCTAAAGAAACAATACCGACCTCACTGCGGTCAGAAAAACTCTCAAGACAACTAACCGGGAGGAGAAACTAGAGCCTACCCAGCCCACCTGCCTGATACCCCCACCCTCCCCTACTCAAGTGGTCTACCTTCGACCTCCGACAGGGACAGAGTGGCCAGGTTCGACATAGCCCACCTCACGTGTTCACCAACCAGCTACACAACACCAGCTTTCCATCTGAGTCGATCTTTGGCAGCTGTTCCCTGAGACACCACGTCCTGCGAAACCATAACTCGCCGGCTGTCCTGCTGCCTCCAAGAACTTTCCGATTCCAGTCTGCTCTCACTGCTGCCATCAGAAGGAGCTTGAAGGTGGCACCCGCCTGTCTATCCGACATACCCTCTTTCCTAAACCTTAAACCATTCCTTTCCAACCACATCACCCAGAGTAAAATCGCTCTACAGACTTGAGCGATATAACCCCATCCCTCCCTTTTGCTGTAACCTTCCGGAAGTACCCCCAACAGGGCCCAACGTTGCCCTATGAAGTCTGACAGTCCCGTGAACCTTTTCCAATGGTATTCCCACCAAGCCCACCATTTTCGGGACTTAGGACAGTCCCACCAGAGATGCCTCAAAGATTCCCACCCTGTCTGACAACGATCACAGGTCGTATCTACCACCATGCCCTTCTCTGAGAGCCAAGTAGCCGTAGGGATTGCCAAGTGAGACTGTAACCAAAGCAACGAAGTCAGCTTTTGAGACGGTAGAATCTCCAACTGAGTCCACAGTCCCTTCAGCTCTTCCTCTGTTGGAGATGGGTGATCAGCAACCTCTCTGTGCAACCTTGCTTCAATTTTTGCAGCCGCTCCGATCGGTTCAACTTTCATTTTCTGAAGAAGAGCGCAGTTCAACTTATCCAGCCCCATTTCTGACTTCCCGTTCCACGGCCAACCCCAACAGGCTGGGTCTATTCTCAGCTCCCTCAGAGGAATCCCGCCACACACCAAGGCCGGAATCATTGGACAGCCTACCTCCTTTGGAGGCTGAAGGGTCACTCTTATCTCCACGAAACCGCCCAGCCCGTAATGCAGCTCCATTCCCACCCGTTCCAGCTGTGGCTGTGTCAAATTTTGTTGCTTGTAAGTCTCCATCCAGCATTTACCCCAACCCCTCCTCTGTCCAACTCTCAAGTCTATAGAACAAGCTATCCACTCCGTCTTCCCTCTTTTACCACGTTCCTGGTTTGTCCACACCTGACGGACCCAGAATTTCTTTCCATTCCCCAGGGATAGCACTTCTCAAAAGAGTCGCTCTTGTTTCCTGCTCAGGGAGCTGCCCCAGCACCACCTTCAACTCCTGAGGAGATTTCCATTGATTGGTCAAGCTATCCCACAAATCCCCTACCGTAGATACCCCCTTTCTCAGCCAACTGAGAGCGAAGTTCCCTGGCTTTTTTTCCAGAGAAAACCATTGGCCATCATCATCAGTAATCCATTGATTTTCGAACAGCGGCCATCTTTTGACCTCCTCTTTCGTCTTCGGCGGCCTGAGCAAGTTCGGTGTAACTTTCTTCCAGGCCAGGAGAACATCCCTCCAGAACCTAGAGTTAGGACGCCGCCTACAGAAAGTGTCGGTCATTATGGCTACCCACACGTCCCGAGGTCGAACTAACTCCCAGTCCTTGGCCAACAGTATCTCTGCCAACAGTAACCAGTCCGCTTCCTGATCCCCAGTAGCCACCCTCACTAACCACTTCCCCAACAAGGCTGAGTTTTGGAGAGCTGGATCAATCAAAGCAAGCCCCCCCTCTTCTCTTGGAAGGCAGATCGAGTCACAGGCCACCTTGGAAATAAAGCCTGTGTCTTCTTTGCTGTCAGGTTTCCATATGAACCTTCTAGCGACACCTCTGACCGTCTTAAGTGTGCTAGGGGCGATTCGCCGAACAGCCGCCACATACCATAGCAGTGCAAACGCTGATACCATAACTACCAGCGCTCTCCCAATAATAGAGAGGTGCCGCCCTCTCCCCCAACTTCTGACCCTTTTCGTCACCCTTTCCTGTAGAATCAGATCCTGAGAGGAAGAGCAATCTCCCAAAGCAACTTGCACCCCCAGGAACCGTTCTGCTGCTTCCTCCGGTACCCTCTCCATTCCCCACTGCACACTCAGAGAAAACCTCCGTGGAAGAAAGAACACTGACTTATTCCAATTGACTGCTGCCTCCGAGAGCTCCCCAAACTTTACCAAACAACTTTTCAGAGCGTCTAAGGATCGGTAGGAATTTTGCAAGATAGCAAAGAGATCGTCAGCCAACGCCTTAACCCTACTCTCTCTTCCGTTGTGGAGCATCAGGCCTGTGATTTCAGGGTGGCAGCGAATGTTACAGAGCAATGGCTCCAGATGCAACACGAAGAGCAGTGGAGCCAGGGGGCATCCCTGCCGCAGAGACTGTGTGAGGCAAAATTCCTCCGAAAATTGTCCGTTTACGCACACAGCTGCCGTTGAGAAACAGTACAAGGCCTTCACCCAGCTACAAAATTGGTCGCCGAAGCCCACCACCTTCAGCGTCGTCAAAACAAAAGGCCAATTCACCCTATCATACGCCTTCTCAAGGTCCAGGAGCAAGACTGCCACATTCGCCTCTTCACGGTCCACCAATTCCAAAGCCTCAATCGCTGTAAGGATGTTCTCGAAAATGGACCTTCCTTGGACGAAGGCACCCTGATCCCTCTGAACCAAATTCAGAAGGAATTTGGCTAGGTGATTGGCCAACGTTTTCGCCAGAAGTTTATAGCCTACGTTCAGGAGGGAGATTGGCCTCCAATTCCTTACTTCGCTGCGGTCTCCTTTCTTGAACAGCAAAGAGATCACCCCCCGCGACATTGTTCTACCCAGACTGCCCCCCTGCAGGACATCATTGAATAGCCCTACAAGGTCCGCTGCAAAGACTGAGAAGAAGGTTTCATAAACTCCAGGGGGAGCCCATCCTCCCCTGGTGCCTTGCCGCTTGCCATGCTTTTCACTGTAGTAAGGAGTTCCTCCTCCGTGATTGGTCGATCAAACCAAAGCCTTTGACTCCATCGAGATATGAGTCTTCATATTGTCCCAAAGAGGGGAAAGTTCTGACATGTCCATATCCAGCTCATCAAACGGGCGCCTGGTAGACAGTATATCCTTAAAATATGCTGCCGCATACTTGCACATGTCCTGGTTGGAGGACGCTAACGGCTGATTAAGCAGGTGTGGATGTTTCAGCTCTCGCATCTGAACTGCATTCCGCTTCGGAAGGAGCTTCTGAAACGTATCTTTGGTTAGCCGATCTGAAGATACGATCCCCTTAATCTGGAGGATTTGAGCCCACCTTTCTTGTTTCTGCAATTGCAGGTCCTCCCACTTCTGAAGTCTGATGCTCCTCTCCTCAGACCAAGAAAGGTCCGAAATTGGGTGCTCGCCCAATCTTGCTTCTGCTTCATCCACCCCCTTCCTCAAACTCCCCTCTTCCCTAAGCCGGTGACTAGCCACTATATGGGAAAAGACGTCAACTTCAGCGAAATAATTCTGAGTCCAGCATCCGCCCATTCAGCTTTCGACTCAAAACTCTGGGCAGCCGATCTCCACTCCTGCCAAAATTCCTCCACCCACGCCCGAATACCCTCCTCCTGCAGATGGATTGTGTTTAAGTCTGGAAATTGTGCAATGCTACTGAAATCTTTGTTCGTATTTTCTAAGAAGTAAATTGGAAAATACGACAATCTTCAGTGAAAGGCTCTGCATCCTACGCTGGCTTGGTCCATTCGCAGAAACGAGCTTTTTTTTTTTTTTTTTTTTTTTTTTTTTTTTTNTTTTTTTTTTTTTTTTTTTTTTTTTTTTTTTTTTTTTTTCCCAAGGGAGGAGACGGTCTTGAGATATCATCATTGATCTGACCGGCCTAAGGCAATTCAGAAATATTTGGGTTTACTCGTCAAGTTCCATCATCTAGGTTCGAACACGGGTCTGTATTTCAACAGTTCAATGGTGTACCCACTGACCTAGGCTCTTGGGTTCAGAAACGAGTTTGGGGCTGCACAGCCAAATACAGCATGAACACTCTGTCAGAGTGTCCTTCCAAGGCTGTCAAGAGTCTCCTCCCACAGAATGTCAGAGTGTCCTCCCACGGCTGTCAGAGTGCCCTCCCACAGCAGGTCATGATGGCACAAGCACCCTTGAACCCACACCCACTGCAAGTGGGGTATGTAGTTCAACGGAAGATGGGCGGGTAGGTGGCGTTGTATTCGGGCGGAGGGAATTTTCAGCACGATTCTTGAAACAAAAAAACGGAAACGGAGGTCTTTGTATTTTATACACCTAAGAACAACCGCTGGATGTGCAGCTCTGGATGCATCTCAGACGTCGCTTCGGGTCACACACTTTGAGCTAGTTCAACGTTGAACTGGCTCAATGGTGTATGTGGGACTTCGCCCCGGTGGTGAGGTGCCACTAGCAAGGAGGATTGGATTCAGTTCCTAAATCTGGATTTGTTTTGTGGAGATTTGCAGAAAAGCAGTTCGATACTGATTCTCTGCACCTCGCCACAAACACGTCCAGATTTGGGTGTTTTCTGTTTTTGTTTTAATTCGTCTCCTACATCTGGATTTGTTTTGTGCAGAGATGCACAAAAGCAGTTCGAAGGCTCTCACGCTCTGCAGCCAGACTGGGAAACGCAGTGGAAGGCTCTCCAGCGTATTCCGTAGCAGAAAGATGCAAGCTTAATATGGGATGCAATCTGTACAAGTCACCCCATCAGCATTGTGGCTTTCGTCCGGAGGCATGAACATACTGATAACCTGTAGCCGCTGCGATTGGGGATGGGAATCGAGTTCACATTTATGGCTCCAGTGCCCGTCGGCAGATGAAGTTTGGCTCTGGTGGTCTGAACGCTGGGCAGCCATAACGGGTAATTGCTTCCCCTGGTCGGATGACTGGGTACTTTTTGGCATCCTCCCAGACTAAAGTTTCAAACTTGTAGAGGGCTGGGGGTATGTGGCGTTGGTTTGCAAGGGGCAAAGGGGTAGTAATGCAAGAAATCTGGAAAGAGAGAAATGCTTTGATTTGTCCAGTTGATGTCGCGCAGTGGTTAGAGCACCGGTTGGAAATGCGCATTGTGGTATAAGGTTGTGGGTTCAAATCTGCAGCCTTGCATGGACACCGGCAGGGTGTGAGAATGACGCACGGCTGGACATACACTATCCTTTGACCACTACATGGTTATGATTACAGACCCTGCCTGTATTGGTCAGGGGATCAAGTCCCGGGTCTGGGTTCTGCAGGGCTTGCTCGGGGTGTTGGTCTTGGTCGTTCGATCCTCGTCCCCGGTCTGATATATACGTGCTATTTCCATTGTTGCTCATACGGTTGAGTCTTCCAGTTACATTTCACAGGTCACGGGTTCGAGCTTGGTCACAGACTTTGGGGGGGTCTGTCCAGTCTGGCCCTTTATACATGGTATTCTCAACACACATATAGTGCTGACACATGGCCTTCTCAACACACATATAGTGCTGACATATGGCCTTTGGCCCCATATATGATTCATATTGCCTTCGGGTATTCAACTGGCTTCTGGATATATACACATACATCATAAATAGCCTACATCCATGGCTTCCTGAGCACATACATATGGCCTAAGGGCTTACATGCATCTACAGTTGACTGGAGGAGGGGTAGAACAGACTTGACTTAGACTCTAGGGTATAGAATCCGGTAGTTACCCCAGCAGGTCTGAGTTCCACCTAGCCAAGATAGGGGCAAGCTAGGGGAAGGACGGTAGGACTGTCAGTCTGAGTTCCGCCTGGCCTTGGGTAAGCTAGGGGAAGGACGGTAGGCCGTCTGGCTGGGGTACTGACTGCTAGTTAGCTGTCCCCGAAAATAAAACCAGGGGTCTATGATCTGTACAATAGGGATACGAGGTTGGTAGAATATAGTGGTGCCTAGCGTCCGAAGTTCCCGTACAGCGAGGCCTGTCCGATTTTGCTTCCACTGGGGCTGGGGTAATAGCTAGCCTTGGTGCCTATCACTACTGTCTGGTCCAAGTCACCCACCTAGCCGTTGGGTGATGGTCCGGAGTGGGTTACACTGAGGTAAGATAGTTGGGTTAGGGGGTACGCTGGGAGTATTGATGAGTGGTAGGGTGGGACTGTGAAGGCTCATCGCTCCCGGTGATCCCTGTGTGCCTGGTAATTAGAATCTAATTTCATCACAACAACAACAGTTCAGCATCAGATACAATATCAGACACATGATTCAAGTTGATTGGAAAAGAGCAGTGGGACGCCAAGGGTTAGGCCGGCCTTGGTTTCTGAAAACATGGTCTTTGGGTAACCAGCTAGCATGGTTAACAAGGGAAGGAAATGGAAAGGTGGCAATCGCAGGTTGGCTGAAACCTCCGTGACTTGGCAGGACTGGGCCGATATAGACCTCGTGGGTAGCAGAGGGTTAGAAGTCTACTAGCCTATCTGCGGGTATGGTGAGTAAGTACGCACACAGCATCAGATTGTCGTCAACAAGCCGGGTCGCTAGTATTCTTAAGCAAAGCTGGCTGAGGCTGCCAGGGTAACTCGGGGTTGAATTGTGAGGTCCCCAGCCTCATCCTATGAATTGCTTTTGCAATTAAAGTTCAGATTTTTCCCAAAAAAGAAAAAAAAAAAGCAGTTCGGTACTGATTCTCTGCCCCTTGCCACAAACACGTCCAGATTCAGGTGTTTTCTGGTTTTGTTTTTTTTTGTTTTTTTTGTTTTTTTTGTTTTGTGTATCCAAAACATCACCGAGTGTGCCCCTACTACAGGCGGAGATAAAGCCCTGCACGTAGCCTGTTGTAGGGGCAGCAGCATGCGATGGCTTCCATCGTTATTCGTGGGGAGCAGCACGTGCTGGGAACAGGTCCTGCCACCCCTTCTTCAAACCCCTTGTTGTCCGATCCGACCCTTCTTGCCAGTGGGACCTCCCCCCTGATCCTCCTCACTTTTTGAAAACAAGACGTCTGGCCGCCGCCGTCCCGGCGGGACCAAGAGCGGGGACCAAGAGTAGGGGGGGGAAAAAAATTGCAATTCCGCACCAATGCCCTCTCTCTCTCTCTC